TTGTTATTGCATTATATGCATGTTCTCCTTTTATGTCTTTCAGATTTTCAAGACATCAAAGCAAATTGCACGGTTATTTATTTGCATAACTACCGTTGTATTATGTAGATAGTGGCATTATCATGCCAGACGGGGAGTGTGCCGCCCCAACAGGGGCATAGAATATGAGATGCATAGCCTCAGTTAATATTAGCATTGTTATATAGGTTAGAATTTATATAGTGTGATTTGCCTAACTATTTTCTCACAGCTAAATTCATGTCTTATCCTATGCTGCCATCTAGTGGCCTTTTGTTGTAACAAACATGTTTTCTGTAATTATTCCTCATGTGACGATGTATTTCCCCCTAGTGTACGCCTCTTCCTTCTTCCTGTGTGCAGTACTTCCTGTGTCATGGCACAGCTACTAGCCACATGTAACAAGGACACACATGTAATCTGCACAGTACGTAGGAAAGGCATCATTTTCTGACCGCACAATACTATAACCGTTCAACTGCTGTTCCTATCATCTGCTGTAACCCTGATGTTAAAGAATAAACACCTCTTTTGAATGAATCGGTATTGACGAGTTCAGCTATCTGACGAGGATTGTCCGCAGTGAGTATATCTGCTTATACAGGCCAGGCATAGAGGTCTCAGCAAGGGATATATTTCGCTATCACAACGATCGGAGTCAGAATAACACCTTTATTACAAATTAGCTAATGAAACAGGACATTGTCGTCCATCACAGGAGCGAGCTCAGAGTGGTGGCTACTTTACAACACACATAGAGACCATGGCTCCTAACTCTACACTATCTGAGCTTCCAAACTGTGGGACTTATATGTACAGAGAGTGGGCTCGCCGGGAGGCCACCCTTCCTTCTTAGGGCTCATTTACAGAGGCGTGTTAGCATACTCCCATCTACCCTGGATCACCCTACCAGAAGCTGGCAGAATTATGTGTATGTGTAAAATAATGATATTGGCTATAGTATTCATTTATTCTAGCCGCTACAATGAATTCACTTGCATACATGCATGCATTTACACAGGTATCCATGTGTATGCATGTAAATGATGCCAGACAGCCCCTCTCTGAACGCAGGTTTGGGAGTCGGGACATTTCATTTTTATGCCCCTGATACAGATCTAAATCTGACAATGTGCATGGACACATCGGCTAAAATAGAGCTGTGTGCAGAGGCATAGAAAAAAAATGCCTACAAAAACTGTTTTTAACTCCACCTGTGTGCACGTGGCTTTCAGGGCTCAGCAACGCACCTGAAGCCCAGATATCAGCTTAAATTACAACTGAAGTGAAAACATTTTTCTTTTGTTTTGTATGGAATGTAGAGGGATTAGAACACCTTCAGGTTTTTATTGCGGTCCTTGTACCTGATAGGGAGATTCGCCCTCTCTGTCCTGGTGACCGTTCTCACCGAAAGAGAAAGAAAATCCCACATTTTGGGTGGTCACCGGAACATGACTATATGGGAAATCTTCCAATGATGTAAAAGGAGGACTCTGATGTAAAAGGAGGACTCTGATGTAAAAGGGGGGACTTCTGATGTAAAATGGGGAGTTCTGATGTGAAATGGGGAACTCTGATGTAAAGGGGGGGTTTTTTGTGTGTGTGTGTGTGTGTGTGTGTGTTATCTGCTTGCACCCGGACCATAATAAATGATAATATCGGGGTGTGTTCGGTGTGACAGTGAGGTGCAGGAAGCGCCGTGTCCCCTGTGCCAGTGACGGAGGTTACCCGACAGTTTACAGGCAGTGGGCGGCGGTGGAGGGGAGTTGATGAGCTCTCACTTCCTCATACACACGGTGTGTCATCATGGTGGCTTCTCGGGGAAGAGCGGCTGCAGCTCGGTGCGGCTTTCCAGCGGACACGGCGGTGTCGATGCGGCCTCGGCCTGGCACAAGAGCCGGCCTAACCCTGCTGTTGGTTAGCTGGGTATCCGGGCTGTGCGGAGCGGCCCAGGAGCAGAGCTCCGTCCCGGCTGTCACCTCCGGGAACTGGACTGAGCTGCTGCAAGGACACTGGATGGTGGAATTGTGAGTACGGGGTGACAGGACATGCACCGTGCACTTGTTATGGTTGTTGGGGCCTATTCCTATTGTGCCGTTCTGCTGCATTATGTTTACATATGTACCATATGGTAATGTGCATTGTGTGAGGGAGCCCATGTATATCAATGTCACCATAGGAGACAATGTACTGAACATGCAGAAAGTTTCCTGAGGCAGCGCACCACAATGCATGGTCACGTGTGTTGGGGTGATGTTTAACCCCTTCAGTACCGGGGTGTTACACCCCCTTCCTGGTCTGGCTATTTTTCAGTATTCAGCGCTGCGCTACTTTGACTGACCTTTATTCCATCATGCAACGCTGTACTGACATTAATTTTATATTCTTATTCGGCAACACATAGAGCTTTCTTTTGGTGGTATTTAATCACCACTGGGGGTTTATTTTTTTTTGCTATATAATGAAAAATGTTCCCGAAAATTTGAGAAAAACCTGTTTTCCCTACATTATATTATGAAACGTTTATTATTACCCAATTTTTTTGGTCAAATCTAAAAGATGGGGTCACAGTGGGTAAATAAAATCCTTTAGGATATCCTGCTGCACTCCTTACCAAAGAACCCCTGAAGGTGGGCGCTGAAGTGACTGGGTGCTGAAGACAACATGCGTCCATAAAGGACGGACATTTGACCACAATGTTTGGCGTGCTGGTGATATTTTGTTATACGTTTGGTGGAGTGCGCTGCCATCTGCATTCACTTCAGCGCCCACCTTCAGGTGCACCTTTTTGTTCCCCATGGTTCTTTTGTCTACTTTTGTTCCCCATGGTACCTGTCTTGTTGTAAAGTAGTCACCGCTCCAAGCTCGCTCCTGTGATGGACTGCAATCTCAATACTAATTAAAAGCTAAACGTGAGATTTTAGTCTATCACAGGACTGAGCTTGGAGCGGTGACTCCTTTACAACACACACAGGGACCATGGGGAACAGGAGTAGCCCCCCTCCAGAAGGAAGGACAGTGTCAGCACCAATTCAGAGATGATTTTAGGATCTACAGCCGAATCATGCACAAATACACACATGCACATTGTCACACAACATACAAGAGATCGGGTGGCTATAGAATGCCATCGCCGGCTGTTTAAAATGCTTAAAGGAGAACTATGGTGTTAAGTCTTTTCCCCATAGTTCTCCTTAGGGTAACGGGAGGACACAAACTAGCGTCCTCCCGTCACCCTAGGCTCAGTATAGCGCAAGCTGTAGCTCGCGGTATACTGAGACGTCGCAGTATACCGCGAGCAGCTGCTCGCGGTATACTGAGATGCCGCAGCTGAAGCGGATCCCGACAATTGTGCTGGGATCCGCCCAGCTGCTCCTATCTAAAGGCAGAGCCAGCTGTACCCGCCCCCTCCCCCGTCCGTTCCGCCAGTCAGTACTGGCGGATCGGAGGTGGGAATCCAGCCCCTCCCCTGTCACGGCAGAGAGCCGTGACAGGATCGAGAGGTGAGCGAACGCCGTCATGTGTTCGCTCACCCCCCGATCTACTGAGCCGACCTGTGACAGTTTCATTGTCACAGGTCGGCTAGAACTATGAGGTGAGTGAGAAGCACTCGCCTCATAGTTCTCTTATAAGGCTACCCGTGCGCATGCGGGAGCAGGAAACTATGTTCAAAAACGCCCACCCGCATTCAAGAGTGACGAGCGAACGGGAAGGGGGTCAAATGGCAACCCCCCCGGCTTCAAGGTGCTAACCCATGTAAAGTATGCGTTGTGATAACAGGGATGCAGAAGTGTAAACAGGCACTTTAGGCGGAACAATGCCCTCCATACTTACCTCTCTTCCACTGATATGACATATGCGAGCTCCTGCGCTGGCACCCTCATCTTCTCCCCGGGCTTATTCCTGGTTCGGATCTTCAGGCATCTTGATTGTTTGGGCCAGAATGGCATAAACCTGACATGTGTACAGGAGTTCATTCATCCCATCACCGTGGCGTGTTGAGGATCTACAGGTGCAGCCATGTGTTTTGAACAAGACAAAAATGCTCAGGTCCCCCATTTACAATAAACAGCATGGATGTGAAATCTCTGCCACCGGTCTATTGCATTCTGATCTAAAGCTCCATTCAGACGAATACACGCTGTACGAATACACGCGGAGCCTCTCTAAACAAAAAAACTATGCACTTTAATGTGCATTGTTCAGACTATTGCAGGGGTCGCGCGGTACAAAACAAAATAGTGCAAGCGCGATAATAGGGCGGAATCCGCACGTCCGTGGCTATATAATAGACGCAAACGAGCAGAATCTGTGCAGTTGTTTCACATATAGAGTTTGCTTCCCATGCGGTCTTCCACTCGGGATACCCAAATGCTCTACGTGAATGGAGCCTAAAGGTGATTGTACAATCAGATTGGTATATGCTGTCATGTTTAGCGTTAAAGTTTATTTTGTTTTGTTTAGGATTGGAATAGGGCTGCAACAACTAATCGACATAATCGATTAATCGGCTTCCGATCAGTTGGCCCTGTTCACGGCTCCACACACGCTGTGCGCTGCACCTCCTCATCACCTCACGCTTGTCGCTGCCAGACCCGCCCGCATCCACGCTCTTCACACCGCACCTCCTCCCCGCCTTACTCTCGCTGCCCGCCCACATCCACGATCGGCACAGGGACGCGGGGAGATGTAGTAAGTTAGTAAACTCCTGTAAGTCTACTTTTTGCTGCTTCCCATTGGGGAGACTTTCTTTCACTTTCTGTCCCAGAGACACAACAGGCTCCAGCGGTCTAAGGACCAGGACATCATCACGCCCAGTCACTTGCATTGGACGTGAGGATGCAGCCGGAGTGGTACGGGCACTGAGGCTCAGGTGAATATATCTTTTTTTATTTTAGACCCTAGGGGGTAGCCCCTCTGCAATGGTTAATTTTATACATAGCTGGAGTTCTTCTTTAAAAGTGGACATATACATAAAAATATGACTGCCTAACAGGTATTGTGACAAAGCGATTAGTATTATTTTTTGGGATGGAATGTGACATGTAAATACTTTCTGTTTTAAGAAAGGCTGTAGGGGTAGAAGCAGTATGAACCTTGTGGTGTTAGTTTTAGGCAGCACTTTTAGTGTAAGGCTCCATTCACACGGGCCAATCTGGCATTAACCTTGACAAGAGATAAAATCCATTTGTGATCATTCTGTCTCATATACTGGCTGCTCTGGTATGTGTTAGTGACATTTGTTAGAAACAGTTCCTTTGATGTCTTATCTTCGTCTTGTGATCTCTTGGCTGAACACTGAATATAAACTGTATCAAGTGCATAGAACAAAGTTGGCCAGTGTAGCATGCTGCTGTACGTTTTTTATTTGGCCCAGCAGTTCATTTCTCAAGACAGCCCCAAGAGGACCATCAATTACACCACGTGTTTTGGCCAGTGCCTTTGGCTTAGATATTGGTCACCAAAGAATTGTTAACACACAGATTTTTTAACACAAAAACAATACTGTAATGTGTGCCTTGCTGTAATCCATGGTTGTTTCCCTTCTCTTTGCTGCTCTTCCTTTTAAATCCTCATGTCTTCTCATGCTGGGGGAGAACTTCCCTTTTCAAGCTCAGGGCCTCTTCCTGTAGTGCTGGCGCAGGTTACAAGCCTATACAAACTTATACACAGACACCGTGTATCCATTCCTGAGACAAGGCAGTCTTCTGCAAAACAGAAGTTCTGCCCAGCATGAGAACAGATACAGATTTAAAAGGAAGAGCAGCAAAGAGAAGGGAAACAACCATGGATTACAGTAAGGCGCACATTACAGTATTGTTATATGTTAAAAAATCTGAGGGTTTAATGTCACTTTAAGAGTCCCATAATTTGTAAATTGTGCCCATTCACACCAGAGAGTTGTGTCGGTTGTTCACAAAATCAGTGTGAAAAAGTAGTGTGTGCGCTAGTTTTCATTACCACAACCCATGGCACTACAGTACCGCACATTGCGCTGCATGCACAGCCACTGGGGAATGTGTTGGGGTGCCATTCATATGAATGGCGATGCAAAGCACCTAGTGCATGTTACTGCACGCCAGGCGCATTGTGTGATAGCGTGCGCTAAATGCATGGTATCGTACATTTAGCACAACACAAGTATTGGCTGGCCCTGAAGCCTAACTAATACCCCAAAAACCCTCCCATAAGGGATTGTTTTAGTTTAAGATCACATCCAAGGAGCTTTCAGCGGCTGGCGGTATTGTGGATAAAATCTAGAAATGCAAATTTCGACCGGCAAAAATTATAACTTGTGTGGGGGAATTTTGTGTTGCCTTGGACAGCCCAATGACCCGGAAGGAGGTCCATCCTTGGTTGTGTGATCAATAGTTATCTTGTCTGTGAGAAAACATGTGTAGGAGAGGTTAGTATTAAGGCCCCATAGTATAACAGTATCCAGGGTGTAGACCCAGAAGGCCTCTTTGTGTAGTAACTGGAGATCCCTATTGCCTCCCCTGTATTTGGGCTGAATGTGGTCAATGGCCATCCCCCTCAGCTCATGTGTCTGGTGTTTATGTTCAGCGAAGTGAACTGCTACTGGTTTATTCGTGTCTGGTTCCTCACCAGATTCAACCTTCTTAATGGTGGTCCCGATGTCACTACGGTGTTTCTGGAACCTTCTTTTAAATGGACCTTTGGTCTTACCCACATACACCACAGAGCATGGGCATTTAAGCATGTAAACCACATAGTATAGTAATACCTTGGTTCACGAACGCTTCTATTCGCGAACAATTCGGTTTGCGAACAGGAAGTTCGGCAAAATTTTGCTTCCGTTTGCGAAATCCGCATCGGGTGACAAACACGACCGCAACCATCTTCCCCGCTCTGACACATGGTCATGGCTTCCTCTAGTCGAGATCGGGGTTTGATTACAGTTTGATTCAGTTCACGATCAATTCGGTTCGCGACCAGAATTGTGGAACGAATTAAGTTCGTGAACCAAGGTACCACTGTATAGTTGTTTTGCCTGAAGAAGAGACCA